ATCCTCTTTTGGAACCAGTTTCCTTTTCATAAGATTTTATTAAGAACAAAACAGCAGAAACGGAGAATAAATAAGTAAAAAAGATATGAAATGTTTTATCCCATCACCCTGTTTAGATGGATTGACCGTGCCTCACATCGTATTAGGGTGTAATAAGCGTCTTTATTGTTATTTCTATTTCACAGAATAAGATATTATTGCTTATCTTGCATATTATGTCCTTTTGTAAGCAGCGATGAAAATGGTCACATTTAAGGAAGATTTCTTCCAGAACATGACCTAAAAATTGGTTTCAGAATATTTGTGAATGTTATCAAATGAATAAACGAGAATTGCACATGTTTACACACATTAAATGCACATCTGGCAGAGATTGTAAAACCAACAGGGAGGGAATGAGTAAACAACCACAGCCGATGCAGCTGCGTCAAATGTCTTATTTAATGTAGATTTAGAATTATGGTTCAGAGATAAGAATGCTGCATCTCATTATAAATCCTCCTCTCTTGCTGTGTATCATTTCATTATCTCAGCTTTGCTGCAGGTAAAAACATTGCAAGAAGAGAGGAGTCAAGGAGATGAAAATAGGATGTGCAAACTGTGAAATGAGGAGAGGGTTCTGTTTGTCTTGTTTTACTTTGTCTATGTGCTTTTCCACCCACACGACTGATTGTTTTTGCCTTAGTCTCTTTAGACCAGCCTCCCTATATATTTAAAGCCCATTTAATTTAGCCTTGCTTCAATTTAAAATTCACTTCCATTCCATCCCCAGTTAATTCTTTGTTTCTCCACACAGTTTGTAAGACATGTTCCTTATACCTAATTTAGTTTAATAAAATTGCTTATTTTTGTCTGTGCTGATCCTGGTTCAGGGTAACTTCGGATTTTTCTTTCTTTCTTTTTTTTTTTTTTTTCCCAACCTCTTAGGATCTCAGCTTTAAGAAACTGCAGTTACACTCATAATCATAGAGTTGCTGCTGCCAGGGTCACTATGTTTTTTTTTTTTACGTAAGTAATGAGGTGTACACTTCAGATTTGAATTAAAGATTTCCTTAAAACTCAGACCCACGCAGGGCCATACAAAAGCAACTTTCAGCTTTAAAAATGTTCAGACATTTATGTCACACTGTTTCAAGGCCTGGGTCAGTATTAGAGGTGTAAAGCATCTTGCAAAATCATGTTTTTTTTATATAAACTATTCAGTGTTCATAAAGTGCTAATCTCATGTTATCCAATAAAGCAAACTATAAGTAAAATAGAAAAATGAATACTGACTACAGGTCTAGTTACCCCCATATTAAAAGAAAATAATCCAAACAGATGAGCTTAGAATAAATTTATGTAAAATAACATGGAAAGAAAAATGAAATATGAGAAGTAACAACAACAAAAAATATGTTTTTGAAAATGAAACTGTTTTTTTAAAAAGCCTTCTTTTGGATTGAAAACTTCCAGACATGGAAACTTCTAGTATAGAGGGAGTGGTTTTGGCCATTTCTTTTCGCATAACAATAGCTTTAGAGGGGCTGCACGGTGCGGGAGCTTGTAGCACTATTGCTTTGTAGCAAGCAGGTTCTGGGTTCGATTCCTGACCTTGGAGTCTTTCTGCATTGAGTCAGTGAGCCCCAGGGCAGCTGTGGCTACAATGTAGCTTGCCACCATCAGTGTGTGAGTGTGTGTGTGAATGGGTGAATGAATGTAGTGTAAAGCGCTTTGGTCAGGTCTCTTGGCTTGAATAAAGGCGCTATATAAGTACATGCCATTTACCATTTACCATTGAGTTTGCATGTTCTACTCTGTGCACACATGAGTTCTCTCTGGGTACTGGTTTCCTCCCACAGCCAAAAAACATGACTGTTAGGTTAATTGGGTTCACTAAATTGTCCTTAAGCCGGTGTTCTGTCAGCTCAGCATACCGCATCAGGCCAGCATACTGCATCAGTCCAGAATACCCTTAGTAATATGCATTACAAAGAGTATTCTCTGTCTCTGTTTTATTTCCCGATTTAGTCAGGTTTTTGTTTTATGCATACCTGTATGCATAAAACCTGTAACCACTGTAACCTGTAAGCGCTAATATTGCACAATTTTTTGCCCTTTTTGGGCCGATTCTCAAGTCATGTGAGAATTTTTTGATCGGGCCGACTTTCAGAATGTTAGTGCATGGTGTAGTATACAGGGGGTAATGAGGGGCGATAAGCCTCTCACGACCACCTCCCGATCAGGAATCGTGAGGTCGGGAGGAATTCAAAATTGTTTGAAATTCAGACAGCCATTGTAAGGTGTTAATGGGTAAATCATTCTTTATGTAAATTGACAGACTGTAGCAACCACGTTTGCTCAGCCATGTCTTTGTCCAAATACGTCGTCGCCTTTTATTTTTAGGGCTTTCAGCACACAAAATTGCACAAATAGCCAAGGCAGTGTATTTCACTCTATTGAGGTTCATATTCCTCTTCTACTCACATGGCCCCCGGATAGACGAGTCCGTGTAGCACCACCTCACTGCACAACTGAGTCCGACATGGTTTTTAGACGTGCAGTGTGAGCAGGTAGATCCCATCAGAGCATCGGGCTGCACAGTGTCAGAACATACATTGTGAGCTGTAAACATTTAAACCCTGCGGTTTCGTTGTACAGTGTACTGTAAGCTGCAGCTGCGTGCAACGATTGAAAAAATTGTCCAGTGTATGCCCGGCTTTAGGTGTGAGTTTCTGTGTGCATGGTTGCGTGACTCTGTGTTGCCCTGCGACATACTGGTTACTTGTCCAGGGAGTACCCCGCCTCTCGCCCATTGACTGCCAGAGACAGGCCCCACTGTGACCCCGATGGAATAAGCAGGGGATGGTTGGTAAACTTTCCATTTCTTTCTAAATTTCAACTACTTAATTTATTGGAAAGCTAAGAAAAAATAAATTAACTAGTTTTATGAAGTGTGAGGAGGGTTGGCGGTGGTGGTGCTTAGAGCACTGCGGTTTTTCTCTGAGAAGGTTGCAAGTACCCGGATTGATCCCTACAGCCTCCACTCTGGGTTCCTGAGTAAAACCCTTAACCTCTCACTGCTCCCCAGGCACTATACAACGGCAGCCCTCTGCTCCCCAAGGGGATGGGTTAAATGCGGAGAGGGAATTTCCCTATTGTGGGACAATAAAAGGATTTGCATTTATTTTACATTTAAGTCTATAAGAAAATACTGCAAACCTACTCCGTTGGGTAAGCTGTTCTCTGATTTATGTTCCATGCTCTTTCTCCTTCATACATGGTTGTCTAGGAGGCATTCATAGAACTAAGTTTCAGTCTCCTCTGATGGTCAGACTACAATTGAATATATCTTCAAGCTTCAGCTTAATTTTTTTAAAGCAGTAGATTCCTTAGATTAACTGTTAAAAGGTTCAGAAATACACCTGGAACCAGCATTTACCGGACATGTTTGTTGTTCCATTGATATGGGCCTGTATTTACCTATTATTCAAAGTTATTGAGGCTTAAACAAATAATTGATAACTGCAGTTAACACAACCAACTACCACTATCGATTCATAACTGAGGTTTGAGTTCTTCTTAAATGATACCAGTGCACATGGTGCTCACTGATACTCTGTCACCACAGCTATAGCGTTTCATCCAGGACCTTAATGAGGTGTCACCATGGGGTGAACCACAGTGATATTGCTACAGAGCTCTCTGTAATTTTTAATCGGGAGCTTAATGTGTTTTTTTATTATCCCCAATCTTTCTCCCATTTGCATTCTCACTGATTTATTACGCTTTTTCAATGCTACTTTGGGGTTTTCATTTTTTAAATTAAACATGCAGACGCTGACGCTACTTCATCAAGTGTTTGAATGCAAAAGTGGTTACAAGTCAAAGATAATCTGTTAGTTGTTTTATATTCTGCTAATTTATCCTTTCATGGGCACTGCGATGCTAAGATATTACCTAAAGTCCCAGACAAGGAGATTTTCCTTAATATTTCAAACTGAGATGATTGGCTGCTCCATCATATCTCACTAGGAGGTTTTGCATCAACTTATCTTGTCAAATTATATACTTAGAATATTACATAAACTATATAAATCAATATGACATAATTTGCTTGACTTTTAATCAGTTTTTTTTGTCGGGGTTTATAAGTATTTCTGTAGTTGTTGAATTGGAGCATATTTGTTTGGTCAAGACAAAAAGCTTCCCTAAGTCTACAGCACAGTGAAAACATTACGCCCACATCAATAGTGATGCTAATTTTTACCAGAAACATCTTACAATGTTAAAACTTGGACTTAAATGTCTTCTCTAATGACCAATAATCTGAGCAGTGTTTTTTTCATCATTTTTCACTTTTCATTCAACACAATTGAACAAAATGTGTGAATTAATCTGAGAATAATTGCAGCTGCTTTGTGATTAACTCAGATTTGTGCAAAAATATTGAACTAAAACGATCAGCAGCGTTAGAATTTACTTTGATTCACACTATTACTCTAAGGTCCCACCTGACCTTTTTTTTTCCCTGAGGCTCTGAATGAGATGATTTGCTTATTTATCCTTTTCCAGTAATCATGATCTTTTTGCTTATCATTGTAAATTATATTTTGTCACAATCGATGGAATTTACAAAATCTTCTGTACTGAAAAGATTATCAGTTTTAATTAAGATGATCCCTAAACTATTTTATTTCCTAAAAACCCCCATTAGTCGGAGCACAGACTGGCCTCATTACACCTCATTATGGTAACCTTAATTACCAGAACCATCTATAACTACAGTAGGGCAATTCTGTTGTTAAATATGCTTAAATAAACTAGAAGAAGACACAAAACAAGAACAGAATGGCTCCCTTGGTGGTTATTTGCTTATGATAGTGCAAGGATGCAAACAGCCTCTCACACCTCAGTTATCACAGCATTTGAGCGCCTTGGTGGGAGGCGGAGTCAAAGACGATCAGGTTGGTGGTCCACTCTGATTGTATTTTCCATCAGAGGAGGCAAGAGGACTGACTGCAGAAAGGAGGAAAGCACTTCACTGCGTTCTCCGTGTTGTCTGTAGCTGCCTCAATGACGAATGACTGCTCTCAGAGAAAATTAGCTGAATTCTCCTCTGGGCTCACACTCATATGTTGGCCACTCTAAAGCAAAGGTAAGACTTTTTCCTGTTTTTTGTGCTTCCATTCAACAGCTTCCTCCTCTACTAATCAGCCAGGCTGTCAGATTCTCATACTGCATTTCTATAAAGATTTTTATTTTTTTATTTTGTCCCCTATAAATGTTTTAACTGGCTTTTTTTAAGGTAGCAATATTAAATCAAATTGATATTAATAACCTTTTGCTCGACATTACAAGCATATTTTGAAAAGATCAGTAATCTATTTTACTCTTACTCTTTTAATCTTTCTAATCCATTGCTGGAAAACTCCACCCCTTCAACAGGTAGTCTGGATTTAAAATACAAATCAAGCTGGAGTCTGAAATATGGATTATAATTCCTTAACAAACCTAAAAAAAAAAAAAAGATAAATAATTTAGATTTAGCAGCAGTGAGAGTTGGGATAGATTCCCCAGTGAGACACACAAACAAAACCTTCCTGGGTGGATTAAAGCAGTCAGATGCATTCTATCAGTGGCATGGCCTAATGCTTAAGGCAACATAATCAAGGATGTCATGCAGGTATTGAATTATGAACTTCAGGCAGTGACTCATCCCTGAGGAGAATGGCCAACATTTTAGGAAATGGACTTCCTATGTTGTAATCCATCATGTGAGTGCTCTCTGGGGACTGGGCACCAACTGTTAACATTAGAGTGTTTATAGACACAGAAAAGCATCTGAACTGGCTCTTCAGATCTGGCATGAGTAGTGCAGGCTTAAGTGGTGTGATGTGACTTAGGTCATGCAAATGTTTGAAAACTTGGTTTAAGCTGCTGCTGTGTGGAGGTATTTGAAGTTTTATCGTAAAACATCTCTCCCTTAGCTGTAAAATTATTAGGCCCGAGCAGCGACAGCGCTGCTGCGAGAGCCTATTGTATCTGTAGTGTTTATTATTATTA